ATTAAAAGGATACTTACTTTCTCCTGGTCTTAACAGCTTCTACAGAAGTCTTTAAGCGTGGCTCTAAATCTGGCTTGTGGCTAATAGGCCTACAACCCTTTATGATTGCGTTACTCTAGCCCAATAATCAATTCGTTAGAGCAGGAATCTCAGACAGGGCTGTTCGGTTGTTCTCCATTATCTAAGTTTTGTCTGAGTTGCTTTCTTTTAGCACTCGTCCTCACAACTAGAAACCTAGGAGTTTGTGGAGGTCATCGACATGTTTGAACACAGATGGAATTAGTCATGGCCGAGCTAAAGCTTTGATTGTCGCAGTTCAACTGTTTTTAAGAAGNTGAGTTTGTGGATGTCATCGACATGTTTGAACACAGATGGAATTAGTCATGGCCGAGCTAAAGCTTTGATTGTCGCAGTTCAACTGTTTTTAAGAAGCAAGTTTGAACACGCTTAAACCGGTATGCCGGCGAAAATCTTGAACGCAAACTGCAGTTGTTAAACGAAAAAAAATCACAAATCGATTTTTAATTACATAAATTTTAATAAGTAGACAAAAAATTAACACATTTTTGAATTCATCCCAAACAGGTACGTTTTAACTAGCTATACCTGTATTTTTTGTAATGTAATGATTATAATGTTTATTTCATTCACATACTGTACGTACATTAAAATTTAATTAATGTCAACCCCTATGTATTTACCTTTATGCATAAATCCAATTTACGAAACGTATTTGCTCATAACTTCTACCACTTCTTCTCCTTCCACTTTCCGGTTTATTTACAGCTGGCGTTCAAGGTGGCCTACCCAAGCGGCGCGTCGTTGTCGCCCTATACGACTACAAGTCGCGCGATGAATCTGATTTGAGCTTCATGAAGGGCGACCGGATGGAAGTAATCGACGACACCGAATCCGATTGGTGGCGCGTAGTCAATTTGAGCACACGTCAGGAGGGTTTAATACCGCTAAACTTTGTTGCCGAGGAGCGCAGTGTCAACAGCGAAGAGTAAGTAGATTGTATATGTAGAGGTTTTTTTTTATGATTTACAAGGTGCTGATGATTTAATAAACATTTTGTATGTATGTACGTTTCTTTTTTCGATTTCACATTTACCCAGTGTTGTTGGCGGAGGAGAATCCGCGCGGCACATTTCTCGTACGCCCGTCGGAACACAATCCTAATGGATATTCGTTGTCGGTGAAGGATTGGGAAGATGGCCGTGGCTACCATGTGAAGCACTATCGCATCAAACCGCTTGACAATGGTGGCTACTACATTGCCACAAATCAGACTTTCCCTTCGTTACAGGCGCTCGTGATGGCCTACAGTAGTAAGTTTGGCATTTATATACATACACACATACTATTATAACATGTTTACAGTGATGGCCAGATAAAGGTTCCTAAAAGTGAGGTCATAGAAAATTCGATTCACATATTTTGCTCGTAAAAAGAAACTAACGAAACGGGTAGAAAATTAATTTTACGTATTTTGCCAAAGGCATTCTTTTTTTATAGGTTTTTAGGTCCTAAAAATCCGTTCCCTGATAATAAGTCTTGCCACCAGAGGACAGGGAAACAGTCTAAGGGCCGTTTTCTCAAGTAGGTTGTTAAATTTAATGCAAATCCTTTAAACGCAAATTTTTTTCTGAAAAGTGTGTTTAAAAGGCAGTTAAATTTTAAAACCTACAAGAGAAGACGACACTAAGTAGTATTCGGTTCATCGAAGGCTAATAGAAGATATTTCTCACCATTACTAAAGTGACGGTCTGCGAAGTTTTTAGGTCGTCAGTAATAGTCAGAGATCTCCCTAGGGCGAACATACAAACCGCAAAAATAAACAAGGGTTCCTATAGGGTAGCACCTTCTCGCCACTTGCGATTAGCCTTTATTTATCGAAACTCCAAACCAGCAGTGGGAGAGTCCCTGATCTCGTACACTGGCTATTGTTCGATGTTAGCGTTTGACAATTAAATTCATGACCTACATATGTTTGCAGATAATCAGTTATCTCCCTCACTTCTTACACCTTCACAGTAAGCAGCATTTTCTTTTCCTCTATAAAATCAAGGCTACCTACCCTCTTTACTACATGGAGGAAGGAGTTCAAGCTTTCATTTGGCATTCGCGTTGATGGAACACCAAATAGGACGTTTAATAAATCAAACGTTCTAAGGGCCAGCCAGTTCGAAAACATACTAGGTACAGTGGACGTAGTTGTAAACCTATCAAAACCCTGATGCTACGGACAGCCACGTGATGCTTTCCGATGTCACCTGAACATCAGACAGTGAGGCAAACTTGTTCCAGTTTAAGGAGCACGTAACCATGCTTTGCAAGCAGTTTCTACTTGGTTGCTCCGTAACCTTTGCACCCGACACTGATCCACATTCAACGAAAAACTCTTGACACTTTCTCAACTTCTCACTCCATGAATACCGTTGGCGTTATTCAACCACTTCCTTTACTCTAGCAAAAGCTTCAGCTGCCTTATGAAGCCAGCATCACGCTGGTAGCGTTCGATCTATATAATGTAGGAAGTTAATTTCCTAGCTATCGGGAATTGGCGTATCAAAAGACGTCCAGCTTGTAAAGAAAGCCCGCGCGACAGTAACCGTTCCTTCCCCTGCTCACTCAAAACTACTCACGCTTTTTCTTTGGTTCTAACGTGCCAAAACCAGGCGTTTTCTGGGGCTATCGTTAACACTTTAGCTATCGAAAATGACCAATGGCCCAATAGATGCTTGCAGGGCTACTGACATAAGTGTCTGAGGAAACTTCCACTATGTACAACGGGGCTAGGCAGGGTTAGATGAACTTTGCGTTCACTAACGGATACTTTTCAGGGACATATAGCGTAGGGAAAAAAGAGAAAACTCTCCCTATGTCTGCGATCTTCCTTCTTATCACGAACTAAAGAAGATTTCATGTCAGTCATTTGACTTTCTATAGACTGCCCTTGTCCTTCCCGGAACGCATTTCGGTTTTTGAAAAATCTGGCGATTTTAACATTAAAAAAAGTTGGACATATGTAGCTATAGAAACACCAAGTCACATTTGCGATCCGATAAACCGGGTGGGATACCTAGCAATTGAACGCATGACTACGGGCCTGGTCATTCCAATAACCATCTCCAGCTGAAACATAGTGCTAGAAAGGTGTGACCGCTCGCTTTTTGCAACTTTGGCTGAAGGTATCAGATGATGAAGATGTCTACTGGGAAATTTTTGGGAGAAAATAACTGATACAACAATACCAACAATAACCAATTTTGTAAGCCTGGCCCGTTTAGCGGGAAGTAAACAGGCTTGACGAGTCCTCTGCCTAGACCCAGTATCAAGCATTCGTCACTTTTCAAGTAGTTGAATTGGGAAATGGCTTTGGTTCGGAGCAATTCATAAAGCGAAATAGTTGATAACACTGGATCACAGATTTGTGATTTCTGTTCCACGGATGCTCCTATCCAGCCAATGCTTATGTATGAAAAATGAGCCGGAAATAATGTTACTCATTCGCCATGTACACTCCTTTCTTAAAATTTTTTATACAAAAAATATTTGCCCATTTTCATTTGACCATTCGTTCCTTTGTCTATCAATCGATTTTCTTCATTAGTGTCTCATACAACTCATACAAAAATTTACCAAGAAACTGCATTTTTTTTAATTTTTCCCTCTTAAAATTTAAATTTTTAATGTATTCATTAAAAAAAAAAAACTCGGAATAATTAATTAATTTCCCAGAATCAGGCCTACCGAAAAGTAATGTATACTTCAGCTTTCATTTGCCATTAATTCGTATTAAGATTATACATACGTGATTAAGTGAAACCACTTTTTTTTTTTAGCTGAATAACGGTAAATTGAAAATATCTCGAAAACTTATCCATATAAAAATAAATTAACTCGATTTTCGGAATCAGCCAAAAATTCTAAATAAATCTAAATCCTTGGAACATTTTTGTTGTAACCCAGTGTTACTTTCTATTATTCAGCACTTGGTAACCTTTATATGACTTCTATTGTATGCACAAACATCCAACTCACTACAATACAAACGTAAACTCTGTGAATTTGTGCTACTTAAATTGGTTTTAATTTCCGCAGAAAATGCACTTGGCCTTTGCCACATTCTGTCACGTCCGTGTCCGAAGCCACAGCCGCAAATGTGGGATTTGGGACCGGAATTGCGTGACAAGTACGAGATACCACGCTCCGAAATTCAGTTAATACGCAAATTGGGACGTGGCAACTTCGGTGAGGTGTTCTACGGCAAATGGCGCAACAACATTGACGTCGCTGTGAAAACGCTGCGCGAAGGCACCATGTCAACGCAGGCATTCCTGCAAGAGGCAGCTATAATGAAGAAGTTTCGACACAATCGTTTGGTGGCATTATATGCCGTCTGCTCACAGGTAAGTGTAAGTGCAAGTGCACCAAGTGGAGAGTGACTGCATTAGCATAATTATGTCGAACCCTGCTCATTAATTTTCTTGCGCTTTCATTCATTTTTTTTTTTTTTGCAGGAGGAACCCATTTACATTGTGCAGGAGTACATGTCCAAAGGCAGCTTACTGGACTTTCTACGTGAAGGTGATGGCCGTTATTTACACTTTGAAGATCTTATTTATATAGCCACACAAGTGGCATCCGGCATGGAATATCTCGAATCGAAACAATTAATACATCGTGATCTGGCCGCACGCAATGTGCTAATCGGCGAGAATAATGTTGCCAAAATTTGTGATTTCGGTTTGGCGCGTGTCATCGCCGATGACGAATACTGCCCCAAACAGGGTTCACGCTTCCCTGTAAAATGGACTGCGCCCGAGGCGATAATCTATGGCAAATTTTCAATAAAATCCGACGTTTGGTCTTATGGTATTCTACTAATGGAATTATTCACCTACGGACAAGTGCCATATCCAGGCATGCATAGTCGAGAAGTGATTGAGAATATTGAACGAGGCTTCCGCATGCCAAAACCGACTAATCATTATTTCCCCGATAATATTTATCATCTACTACTACAATGTTGGGATGCGGTGCCGGAGAAACGACCAACATTTGAATTCTTAAATCACTATTTCGAATCGTTCACTGTGACGTCAGAGGTGCCCTATCGGGAAGTGCAGGATTAAGCAGTGAGTTTGGGGGCGTAGTAGATAGCTGAGGAGCACTCGAAACGGCAGCGTGTGGGGAGTTGACGGCGCCGGCAGCGAGTGCTGCATCATTATTGCCAGTGCGATATACACATATACATAAACATAAATATAACTAGTTTTAATTTTAAGCCTTTTTAATTGAATTGAGATGTGAGCAAAGGAAGGAGTCTTATGCAAAAAGTAAAAACTGAATAAAAAGTAATACAAAAAAAAATAGAATTGGAGTAGCGCAAATGGTTGGTTAGCAGCAAATTAAGGTGCATACGCGTATTACATACACATATGTACATATGTATGTGAGCGCTAACATTGTCAATGTTGTAACAATTGAAAGACAATTTTTACATCAAAAAAGAATATTAAAGAAAATAAAACAGAAAATGAGAAGAACATACTGCTACATACTAAACGCTATTCTACATTATATACATTACATATAGTACGAGTATGCTATATACGTACGTCTATAATAGTATATGATAAAAAGAAAAAAACACAAAAACAAAAAAAAACAATATTTTACACTTGATAAGCGAAATCTTTTATAATTTATATAGAGGTATTTATGTAATTTTAAGCTTATGGCAAATGAATTGTGCTATATGAAAAAAAGCATTTAAAAACAAATAACGACAACAACCACAACAATAAATACATAAATAAAAAGTCAGTCAAGCTGCAAGTTAAATCTATAAAATTAAAAGAAACAAATCTGTAAAAAACTTTGCAAGAAAACAAGAGTAAATAGTGGATCGTATGTTCGTTTTCATACCAAACAAAAAATTTTTAATTTTCCTACGAACTAATTACACCGCGCTACAAAAAAAAAAAATAAAACCCATGAAACAATCGTATAGTGATTGAAACTATGAGCTAAGTAAAGTAAAACGGCCTCTTTAGTTTTTCTCTCTGCCATAGATACGTTTTCGCCTTTATGCATACAAAAATTGTATCTTTTTTAATTCTACTGAATTGTCTCTTTAATTTGATACCTATATTTCAGAGAGAAAAACTAAAAATGCAGTTTTACTATATTTCGCCCATAATTTCGCGAATCTGTTGATTTTTGTGTGTGTGTAAAATTGACTGTCGCATGGTGTTATAGGAAAATTTTGACAATTTCCTTTAGTACGAAAACAAGCATACCACCAAGTAATTTTTCAAGGCATTTATTAAGTTTTTCTTTGCGCTTATTAAGCGCTCTCTCTTTCGCTCTTACTCTCACACTTTCTATCAAGTTCATTGTAAATTATCTGCATTTGTATTATTTGCATTATAATTTTTTCTTATTGTTTTTGCACTCCCTCGCGAGTGCTTCTTTTTTAAACCTTTTATAACCGTAGTATGTAGCTTTTAAAGTTTTATTATATTGTTATAAGTCTATTGAAACTTTTCCGAATAATTGCAACTAAATTTACTAAAAAAAAAAATTTATACTGCTCTAAGAATTAGTTTATATACTTATAAATACTATGTAACAAGTTTAAATGAAAATGAAAATAAGTGTGCAAAAACATGGTACTGCATTTATACATACAATTTACTTTTAGTATACCACTACATACATATATGTACGTTTTCAATCTATTAGACATACTAAATATTTACTTACTTATACATACATACATACCCATGCATCACTTTGAATTAACTAGCATTTACGTTCTGAAAAAAAGTACTAACCTTTGATTGCTATGAAATCCATCAAATCTTAATTGACGTAAAAACAGGAAATCTTATCAATATTGTATTGGCAAAGAATGTCGGTTTTAATTGTTTTATCCTCAAACATCTATTTTTTTTTTTACCTAAACCACAAAATTTCTGAATGCCAGTTTACATCGAAAGTCGTTTACCGAACACCTCGCGATTTGTTGTCCTTTCCAATGTTTTATCCTTTAAATAAAAATTATGAATGGCTACCTATCTGATGATTAGCGATTCGACATTCCTCTGAGCTTTTTTCTTGGTTGTCTTTCCATGTAATCCAGAGTCCGGAATTACGGTATCGGTGTTCGAATGGTTACCCGCTTCGAATCGAATGAAATTAAATGGCAGCTGTTTTCTCTAAAACACATTTTAGATTAGAAAAAAAGCGAACTTTTTATCGAGTACCGTATTCTCAAAATTAAAATTTGCACCGAGGCCCTGAGTTCGATTATCTTTTCCACAATCTGAAGTGGTAGCAAATTATTACATATTTGCATGGAAAGCTGTTGGCATTACGTTTAGAATGAATACTGACATAACCCAATCACTTTCGCAACCGATAAAACAGTCATAATTTTCATAATTATATTTTCTCGACTTTAGAATTAATTTAACTTCAAGCAATGCTTATGAAAATATCACGACCTCTGAATTTTCGTTACTCGTAGAAAAAAATCTAAGGAAGCCAAACTTAAACTTGTATGCCGGCTCTTTATTATTTTACTTGAATTTGAACTGAAAATAAATACTTTTTTCAACTTATAATAGCCGTCATCGATTCGTTAACAGTTCGCGAGTGGCGAAACGAACGAAATCAATGAAGTACAACCAAACTCGCTATCGTCTATCTTTGTACCTAAGTTTGTTGCTGCTTTCACATGCAAATTTTTTCGTTAAGCGACCGGAACTCAAACATAGCTAGCAGAGAAGAGGCGAATCGATGACGGCTAATGTAATTTTTTAGTTTATTTGAAGTAAACAGCCTTTGAATATTACCAATTGTTAACAGTAGATATTTCTATTGGTTGTGTTGGCACAGTGGATAAAAAAAGGAGAGTGTCGGCTTATAATAAATATCGCAGACGTTCTTCAAATTTGGCTCATTCTAATCAAATGATTTACCATGTTTTTTTTTTTACAGCAAATTAAAATAAAATATTGCTTCAGCTTTGGCAGGAAGGTAAAAATATCGACCCCTACGTAAGCGAAATTTTTTTTAAAATTTTCTTTTTGAAGCAGAAATGTTCCTAAAGCATAATTTTTTCATAAAAATTTATCATACGTTGTTTTTTTTGTGGTTAGGGCTTGATATGACCTTTGAATATTTACGTGTTGAAATAATTTTGATTTATAAAATAATTTTTAAGGTTTTTGCTCTAAGTTATAAAAATTTTTATGAAATCGATTTGCCAATTCTTACTGTAAAACGTAAGTTTCGAATTTTTCGAAGGTTGTTGCGGTGACATTTCCCCTACCTAATTTTTAAGTTGCAGAAAATATAATTTTTTGTTCGTAATTCATTAATTTCAGAGCCTGAAAGGTCGTAAGCCGGAGTTTTGAAAGAAGTGAAATATTAAATTAATTTAAAGCAATTAAAATTTGATAGCCATATGAAAGAGGAAGTTAATGGAATACATTTATTTAAATTTAAATTTTTTTATTTCTATAATATTTCAAGCATTAGCACATATTCGAGAAAAAAAAACAATACAAAGTTCAATTTTTTGTTAAACCTACGAATATGGTATCACTGAATTCGAAAATCTACGAAAATAGCTAAGCTTTTCATTAAAGATGTGTTCAGCCTCTGCCATGAGTGAAAAAATTCAGCTCATTAAATAATCTTTTATAAATGCAATAAATTTCGAGTCGCGCTCTGTAAACAGAGAAGAATTTTCAAATCAAATTAATCTATAAGTTAAAATTTATGTGAAAAATTTTGTTATGAATTTGTTGATGATTTATTTTCAATATAAAATAAATTATTTTAAAATTAAAACTTTTTTCAAAGGTGAAAAAGTTCAAGTAATTAAATAAAAAAGGATATTTTTCAAAATTCGATAAATATGTACCTACGTAATTTTTTAAAACAAATTTCTTAAAATATTTATTCATTGTACTTAAAATATGTTTGCACAGTTTTTTTATTAAAAATTTGTTCATTTCGATTTGTTCGGGCCGAGCGACCGATGCGTAGCCCCTTTGATGCACAAAGTGCCGGCTTCTCAAGTAGCAATCTGAAATTGGCCTTTTTTCTATATTTTTCTGAAAAAAAACTAGACATTTCAGTCAATGTGTCAACATTTTTGGGATTTTTGTGGCCTTTCCAGCTTAGCAATGAGAAAAGTCGCAAATATTAAAAAAAAAGTAATAATTTTTGTGTTCGTCTCCACTGAATTTTTCAAGTTTACTTAGATTTTTAAATCAGGTTTACTTTTTACATACCTATCGGTACTCCATTAATAAAAACAGACCAAAATGTGCATTCTCTTTACATTCTCCATTTTGGATGCGTCAATTAGTTTACCAAATGACTACAATGAAGGGCCCAGAATTTTGGACTCATAAAGACAAACTCGGATATTTCATTCCACTGCGCGGTTATACTGCAGCGCGAAATTCAAATTCAATTATTTTGTACTCATGTCTTTTCCATTAAAAAAACAAAACATAAAATTTGTTAAAAACAACAAAAAATGTGTCACAATCTACATAGTTCTCAAATTCAACTGCATCAACAACAATCATTCCCAATACGAAAATCTATTTTATTACTTAAAAAGCATTCCTGAAATCACTACTCGAATCACCAGCAGCATAATCTCATGCAATTTTCTCGTGCCTCTTACGCTCGTGCTCCAATAAGCTCTCCTCTGCCAACCATTTTCCATTTTCGCATTTCCATGTATTCACTTACTGCTCACTACTCACAAAGGTTTCAGAACTACATACATACTTACGCATATTGTTTACATTTTCAACTTTTAGTAGCATTTTCCCCTCATCCATCTACATTGTACTCTCCATTTCAACTAGCTTCTTCAGCTGGGCCAACTTTCTCGCATTAGAAGATCAATTTAGAATAGTAACTTCATTTCAATTGTTTATAAATAGTATATATGAAAAACAAAAATCGTATGCATACATACATAAAATAGATATAGACATATAAATAGATATGAATGAAACCAAAGTTATTGTTTGTTACAAAAAAAAAAGAAAGAGAAAAAATACATAAAACATTTACAATTGTAAAAGTCCATTTTTTATTTGTAACGAATTTTCTTAAGTATGTAAGCCATAAAAATAATACGTACACAAATTCTTGCATACTTACATACATATACTCTCATATGTATAGTACATACAATCATACAAATATTCAAATGAAAATGTAATGAAAGCTGAAAAACGTTTTTTTTTTTGCAATCGCAAAACATACCACATACATACATATGTACGAAGCACGCATAACCAAAGAAATTAAAATTTTATGTAGCATTC